ACACACACACACACACACACACACACACACATTCACACACACACACACACTCCTACATCCAAAATACTGACACATCACACCATTAAAAAGCCAAAAAACAACATCTCTTTAAGCACACTTTTTAAAATCTGAAAATCTACTAAACCTCCCGTGACGCCAGTCTATGACGTAGTGCATACCTCTAATGTATGTCTGAAGTCAGGTTACGTTTTTCGTGGATTTACCACATCTTTGCCCAATCAGAGAGTGAGGTGAAATTGTTCCTTTTGATTCTGAAGGGAAAAAAACTACTGAAAATGTGAGCAGAACAAAAGGACAATAATTTACAGAACGCATCCACCTCATTTGGATACATATCCAAATTCTAGCTAGCCCACAGTTATTTAATAATGAGAATCCACAGTATTTTCCGCCTGTTCAAAAAGCTACTTTTCCTGTTTATAGTCGTGGCTGTATTGTACGCGCTCAACAAAGGCCTGAGTGACTACGTGTTTGAGGACGACCTTCTCAAAGAGAAGCTACAGGCCGTGAAACAAGGCTCTGTGGACAAACTCCCAGTGCCACCATCTCAAAATGGCGACGAGTCACGCGTATTCCAGGAGCCAAAAGATCCTGACAGCAATAATGCTCCTGAAGAGAAAGAAGTAAAAGGGGAGGAGAAGGCTCCTAAAGAGGAGGCCATAAACAGAGAAGACAGAAAGAAGGAGGTTCCAAAAAAGGGGAGAATAAAGGGATGGGATACAAAGAAAGAAGCTCTGATAAAAGAGGAGATGGAGAAAGAAGACGAAAACGAAGATGACAATGAGGAGGAAGACAAAAACGAGGAAGATGTAAACGATGAAGACAAAAACGAAGACGATGTTTTTCAAGGACTGGAACCTTTCCCTGAGGACGATGCTTTTCCCCAACAGTTGGACAAGCTGGAGGAACTTGGAGGCTTCATCGCAAAGAAACTACCTTTAGAGAAATACGTAGATGTGGAGTTTCCCATCTTTGAAGATGACGTCGATCCTGACGGTCCAGGTATGTCAATGTCTTGTTGGATTTTGGGGTGAGTTTGTTTTGTTTTGCTTTTTTTTAATGGCGGTCCTTTTGTAAGAATGACAAAAGGGGTTGGGGAAAACTTAGCATGGGAACTTAAATGTTTTTGTTTTGAAGGTTTCCTACAACTTTATGAGTTCTTCGAATCATTGGCCCTCTTGCAGGTATAATAGGTTATCCATACTTTCTGGTTAATCAATGTTAACCGAATCAAACAAGATCAGACCTGATTGGGTATGAAGAATATCGTAATTTTCTCTTAGCATTGTAATATATACATTTTCTAACTATAGTGCGGTCAAAAATTCGTGGTGCGACTTATTTTCAAATATCTTCTCAACCATCGAACATGCTTTCTCCAATTTTTTAACAGTGACTTGTAGCAATTTGTCTTAAATAGATCAACATTTTGTAAACACCTGCAAGCTGTATTGTAGAAAATTCCTTAATAAATACTAATAAAACATCCAAGTCGGTGGTTTCTACAGATGTTTAAATGTTTACAGCTGGGGCAATATTGGTTTTAATAACAAGTCCGTCAGGTTTTTCTAATCGGGACATTATGCTTATTGAACGCATGTTTTGAGAATCATTAGTGCAAAAATGTCTTCACTATAACAATAATTCCTTGTAACAAGTTTTGCTAATAAAAATTGTCATCGATGAGCTGTAACGTAGGCCATATGAGTAATCAAAATGTGTGTGAGAAGCGGGAAGTGCTGTGAACAATACATGTACCATTTTACGGGTGAGAGATTTGAAGTATTATATATAAATATATGAAGAAAAGTTTTTTAATCTAGCCCCAATTGTTCTGGAAAAATATGCTTTAGTTAAGACAAATTGATACAAACTGCTATGCAAAGAATGGATGACATTGATTCACCTGTTAAAGGGATATTTGAGGATAAGTTGCACCACAAATTTTTGACGGCACTTATAGCAATAGCCGCGCACGCGGTGATCAATATGCCATCATCAAATGTTTTATAAATTTCCCTTTGTACTTTTAGTTTTAGAGTGGAGAAATGTATTCAGATGTGGATGGAAGGTTGGCAGTGGGGTGTGGGCATTGTTTCCAAAGTCAGTATTGCAATTTGCACTTTCTTACGAAGAGATAAATGAATTTTACGGCCCTTTTTATTGTTCCTGTTCAAGTCGATGTGGTGCATAATGTAATAATTGTTTAATCTACTGGCTGAGTTTTTTTTAATTTAGGTTGTGAATTATCTTTTAAAAAAACAACAACAACAGAAATAGACAGAGTGAGCAATATGGAAGAAATGGACAGTACAGTTGCTGTCAGTCGAAGATAGCTATAAATAGACACACTCGTCTGCGACCAAACTTATGATCTCACAATGAGCAACTTTGGAGGGCTACTGTCTCCTATGTCAGTAGTTTTTAACTGTATGGGTTTAACGCCCCTATCAACACTATTAGGTTATTTAAGAGGCGGGACCTCCGAGTTTTATGTACGTCTCCGAAAAGACCGAGCCAAGAGAGATATTTCGTGCTAAGTGCCTTTCCCAAATTACACAACGTCGGACCGAGCTGAGGCTTGAATCCCCGAACCCGCAATCTCACAATTACTAGTCCGGTAGCCTAACCACTAGGCATCAGTGGTCTAACAACCTTATAATATGTTCCAGCCATTATTCATTAAACATTCAAAACAGTCCAAGACGCCCACCCATTGCGGAGGAGAAAAATGATTGTCTTAAGCATGTAGACTTCTCGGACATTGCCATTATAATAATAATGAAAATAACGCAATGAAGAAGGTAGGAAGTGGTTGTTTGTACAGGTGATCGTCTTGGAAGGGTGGCCATTAGAGCAAGTGCGATTATACTTATGTCTACATTCCGCTTTTCCCTTGCGCTGGTAGTTCCTCTACAAATTGGAAATTAACTATATTTTTTTGAAGTGACGATAGAGTAAGTAAGATACATTCGTGATAATTCTACTGTTGCAGTTAAGATTGAGATTGAGATAATGAGGATGATGATTATGATGACAATGATCGTTATTGCAGGGTTTTTTTCTAGTAGGGATCCAGATAGATGCCAAACGGGACGCGCCGAAACTTTGAATTGTACTTTTTTAAATACCATAACATTCACAAAATCATGTCCAAATCTCCAATTAATGTTCCTATATTCTGCTGTACAACGCTGATGATAATGGTGGTTATGATGACAGTGATGGTCCAGAGGAGGAAAAGGATGAAATAGAGGTGGAAGAGGAGGAGGAGGTGGAGGGGGCGGTTGAGGAGGAACATGAGGAGGAGAAAAAAGGGAAGATTTAGAACGGAAGAATGAGGAGCACCATGGTTTGTGGTCGAGACAGGGTCTAAATATCAACTGCAACAGAAATATGCGTACCCAAAAATCCCCCTCACCTTTTTCCCCTGCTCCTCTTCGTCCTTCATCTCTTCCTGTTAACGATCATCACCACCACCATCATCATCATGTATTAAAAAACAGTTTAAAGAGGTAGAGTCTTGGGTAATCATCATCATCATCATCATCATCATCATCATCATCATCATCATCATCATCATCATCATCATCATCATCACCTACCAGTGCATACATCCCTAAAAAACATGACCTATTTTCCTTGACCACCAGGAGAAGGCGGCGCCGGGGCAAAAATGGAAAAGTCGCGAAGCATGGATGCTGAGCAGCGCGAAAAGTTTGACCGTGGCTGGCAGGCCAACTCCTTCAACGAGCTGAACAGCGAGAGAATCTCTGTACACAGGAGTCTACCAGACTGCAAGAGTAGAGAGTAAGTCAGGGCTGTCTTTGGCAGCATAATATTAGTCCAAAGAAGGCTACCCGAACCACCCACCCACTCCGTTATAGTTCAAAAGGGGTGGGGGGGTGGGGGTGCCTCCACACACACACACACACCTTCATAGTCCAAATGGGACTACCTCCACACACACACACA